CATATTGCTGAATATATAATCAAGAACTCGCTGTTATTTTTTTCATGCATTGAAATTTACTATATTTAAAATTCTGTGTTTTTCCTCTCACATTTTACAAAACAAATTGTTAAAATTTAAAAAGTGCTGATAATCTCAGAAGAATATGAATTAAAAGCATATATTTTCCAGGACTTTAAAAAAAATAAATCATACAATATTTTTTGATATAAAAAGCAGGAAAAAGTATAACCAACTATATCTCACTAGCAATGCTGGTTTGAAATGAAAAATCAACCATGTTCGTATTTACTGCATGAAATTTTCATCTGCATTTTTCGATAAATATCCGGTAGTTAATTATTATTTAAAAATATAATTCGATAAATTTGAAACTCAACTTTTTTGATAAAAATGATAATAAAAGTAATTTCTTTAAACAAAGATATTTAATGTTGAAAGTTATAGATTTTTGCCAATTAGATTTCAATAACAGAATATTAAATTTTTTACAATTGACTTTATTTCCACTTTCAATATAATTTTACACAAAAGAGTATGAAATCACTTTACACACTCCCAATACCACAAGGATTTTATATAATTATTCTCTTTTAACTGTATACAGCTTTAATATGTAACAACGATGAGTTAAAATTGTATTTCCATTTTTCCGAATATTAAATCTCAAATAGATCCCAGTGCAAATGAATAGCCGCGAGCGAATTAATTTCACATATACATTCTTGCTCGCGTTTTCGCACTTAATATAATCGCGTGCGATAAAAAATCTCTCTTTTTCTCTTTTTTTTTATTCATGCGAATGTATTCAATGTATTTTTCATAGGGAAGAAAGATAGCGCCATTAATAATTAGAATAAAGTACCAAGCAACCGGAAGACAGGGATTGGTAGAGGTAGAATTATCAGGTAAGAACGAGATAAATAAGGAGGCTTGCGTATCTTGCTTACTTCGACAGCGCATAACCGCTAAATCTCTAACCATTGAGTGTTAAAATAAGCATCGGCCACGAGAAAAGGATTAATTTTCCCGGATATATCTAACTAGCCATAATTATGGGATCGACGTGAACCACTTTCGCACGCAATCAGGATAGTGTGCGAATCATAAATACGCACGCGTATGCAGCGTAGCACAAACCTTTACTTGGGAAATAGAAAGATATAAATTCAAGATCTCATTTTATATCAGCAGAAGCTTACCAAGGATTCAGCATTTTCAGGATAAATTAGATAAGAAAATATATATGGAGAGAAATATACATATATAAATTTAGTCGCACAAGTTGTATAACTCGTATATAAAATAAAAAAGACAACTTTTTATTATTTACATAGTTCCGAATGAAATAAATTGTAAATTCAAGATCTCGTCTTATCAGAAGAAGCCTGCAAAAGATTCAACACTTTTAGAATAATTAGATAAGAAAATATATATGAAAAGAGAGAGATATTAAAGTAAATTTGTAGTTGCAGATTGCGTAAAAAAAAATACAAAAATGTTTCGTTCCATAAAAAACTTTCGATAAAATAAAATAAAATTAGATAAAGAAGTGAAAAAAATTATATTGGTTATTTACTAATGAGCGGTCATCTACCTTAATATATCTACAAACTTAAAGGAGATTCACCGTCCTTCACGACTCGTGTCTCGGTACTTGCTCGCACATTTTATCATTTGACCTGAGGAAGGTTCTTTATTCCCCATAATTCTTTTTTTTTACCGTCCACCGTTTATTCTCGTGAATCGGATGCGCGATATTCGAAATCATAAAATACCAGCGTTGCACACGCATGCGAAATAAAACCGGTTGCTCTCTCTTTTTCTCTCTCTTGCATCGGAAAATAAATATTTTTCGATGCAGTTATTCGGCGGATTTAAATATTTGATACACACACGTTTCTCGCGTCAACTTCCTGCTCTATGCGGTTTATTACTACATATCGACACGATTCGCAATGCGTAAATAAATATAATAACGAATTTTGTGGAATATACAATGCGCATTAATGTAAATATCCTGAAAATTTATACAAAAATTTGTGTAAATGTGAAAACATAATATAAATATAATTTGATAATTTATATTACGCACTTTGTCATCTGATCCAATCGTTTAAACGGCATATATGTTTTGTGTACGTCAATTTATGTGCAACAATCTTCAGTTGTCGATTTTACTGCTAATAACTTCTTTTACAATCTTTTCGTAACGTCTCACTCTTTAAATACAAAGATTATTTCAAAGATTCTTACTGTCAGACATTATTATATAAATTGACGACAATTTTTTATATAAATCTCTCTCTCATTATTAATCATTAATAAATTATTACATTTTAAGTGGCAAATAATCAATAAAAATATAATTTTTTTCGTTTCTTAAATACTTGAAAAATTTATTATCATTTGATAAAAAGAAAGCATCTCAGTCATATAAAACTAATGTTATAAAGCTTATGTAGGGCTCTTTTTTCCTATGACAAATTTAGATCCGACACTAGAAAACTCTCTCGCAGCTACTGTCCCGGTTATGAAATCTAACCATGTCGCTAGCGATAAATCAACGTGTCGAGCAATCGACCGATCTCGCGGGCAATTCTCGATTGTGCTGCCGGTCAGCCGATCAATCATGCTCTTTCAATCCCCGATACGTGCGCAATCCGACGAATGTCGCAGCGTACGAACGAGTGAAGGTCAATGTGGTATTGCGAGGCAGCCAGCCAGCACCAGGTGGGTCGTTCACGCTAATTCAGTAGTTAGCTCCATATGTCCATCATTGGGTGCGTCACGTTTCTCGATTCGCAATTTGCCTATTCATACTCTTTGGACCGATCAGTCCTCAGTTTAATTTAAATTAGAGGAAAGTGAAATAATATATCGAACAGAGAATTAAATCAAACCTAAAATAGATACGGTTTTTTCCCGAGACTCATACAGTTTTCAGAAAGTTTAAATATTTGCCTTTATTCTCATTTTTCACGTATAATATATCATTAAAATTGACGAAATTAAAAATATACATCAATATTTAACATTTTGTCTTATATTAGTAATATTTCAATTATTTCAAAGTAATTATTCAATTATTCTAAACAGAATATAATCGAATCTTTTATTACAGTAATTTTTGTTTTGACAAAATGTAATAAGTAAATATAGTAATAAATAAAATATTATAATATAGGAACGTATGTGTGTGTACACAAAAGAAAAACGCTCAGCAAATAATTGAAATAACGCATAACATATGCAAAATATTGTATATTCATCATTATCATACTACTTTAGTATAAATTATACTTGTATTAATTTATGAGATACAGAAAGATTTGTTTTTATTGGTTCAGTTTTTGGAGTTGCTCTATTTTTCTAAGCTTTTTTCAATTATCTGTTATTTTTTTCGAAAGATAATCGAAGAAAGATAAATTTTTTTCTGCAAATCTTCTTTAAAGCAAATGTTGCATAGTTCGTCTCATTCTAGTCACGGTTGGCTCTCACCTCTCTTGGTCTCCGTCAGTCGAGACTATAACACATTACTCTCGGAGAATTAATTGAACAGCTGCGAGACGCGGAGATGCGGGGACACGATGACCGTACGGGATATAATGGATGGATACCCGCGCAGCTAGATAATAGATGGATAGATATACGCCGGTGGATGATAATGGGCCGTGTCAAGTGCGAGACGCGACGAGACGAACTGAAGTAACCCAAGTGCCTGCAATGTATACGCAACCACGAGGTCGAAGGCTCCTCACGTGTGACGTCACGATACTAGCATCTCGTCTTTAACATTCAAACCTTGTCTGTACGCTACTAGTCGCTTGTATACACATAGACTGCTCCAAAGTTAGCAAATTATCTTCCATCTGTGTGAAATATTTGACTAATTTTTTTCTTAGCAAAAATACCGTAGGAAGATCTCTTTTTTTACTTTCTCTCTCTCTTTTAATTTTTCAGTTTTCAACATTAAGTCTCATTGCAATTATTCTTTTATTTTTACATTTATTTTTGTATTCTTACATTTTTAAAATTTAAATTTTTTTAATTTATTTAAAATTAAATTAAGGATACACATATATATGATTTTATTGTCTAAAATCTCTGGGATTCTCGCGCAAAAAATATTTAATAATCGAAAATATTGAACATTTTTATGTATTTCGTGACTGACAGATTATTTTAAGAACATATACATACAATATCGAAAGTCTGAAATCTTATTATTTATCTTCCTATGCATATATAACAGACAAAGAGTTTGCAGACTATTTTGTTTGAACATTGAATTGTTTGAAGACCATTGCAGATTGCGGCTAGCCGGAGAAACCCAGCTAGTCGATCCCTTTAATCCCTTACTTTACAAAGTATCTTGTGGTCTTGCTGTATCTCCAATTCTGAGGGTTGAATCGCGCAAGAGTATCTCAAGAGAGATGTAGAACGATTAATGATTGTTCTCAAAAACTTTAATAAAGAGATGAATCTCTCATAAATGCAGACGTAAATACCATTTTAATAGAGTTTAACTTAATCAGTTAAAGCTATTTTTATTTTGCCATATCATTTAATATATAATATGATAAAATAATAGATAATCGAATGATTGTTCTGATATTTTAGTCTCAATTATTTCTATTTATAGTAAATATATGACAGTAATAATCTTGGTTATTCTCGGACAAATAATAATTGTTTATTTATTGCATATTGATTGCGTCTAATAAAATATGTATTTTTAGTTTGATACATTGCGATGATTACTATAACAGTGGACGGTTTATCATTTTGATAACCTTTGCACGAAGATCAATTACAACAATTGCTTGACTCAACCGAATTGTATTCTGCGCGCAATTTAAAGAACACTTTGCTAACTACGCGTTTCCTCCGTTCGCCAATGTCTGCCCAAGGGAATTAACTACCGCGGTTTAACCCGCCATAAATTGATTAAGTCACTGAAAGCGATGTAATTTGTCTTGTACTTCGTTTTGTTGCAGATCAGTGTGGAAAGTGCCGCGCCAGCACGAAGAGGCTCAATCTCAACAAGTACTGCAAAAGAGACTATGGTAAGTGTGTGTGTCTCCAAACCAAACAATGTCGTAGACAGAGAACGGTGTATTAATTGCGCTCTCGTCTCTGATATAATGGAACTCGTAGAAACCCAAACATTGCATGCAAATCTCTTTGCGATGAGAATTTCTCAGAGTCCTATAATTAACTGTCATTGTATGTACCAACCAGTACATACAACTGCTACAAAAAGTTTTAAAAATAAAATAATTCATTATCTCTATAAGATAAAAGACTTAAGTTTTTTGAATGTATATATATGTAATAAAGAATTAATTTTTTATATTTCTATACTGGACATTTCATTGTTTGAAATAGAACGATAACAGTCCAAAATCATTATATTTCGGCGAACTAAACAAAAATCATTTGAATGATAAAGAAGAAGAAAAGAATAATTTGAATAATAGAGAAGAATCATTTGATGATAAAGAGTGATGATATAGATATCGATTCTCTGGTTCTAACTGTGGAAAAATATTAGCAGTACAGCCACCGGAATTGTTTCGGCTTTTATCAGGAATGTGTACCAACCCTGACAGCAGGAAAGGAGAATGTATATGAAATAACGATTTATATCAGAGTAACGTTCTCTCAAAAGTCTTCGAAAAAGTCGAATATAAACATACACTCAGAAAAGGATACGAACAGAAAGAAACAAGGAGACAGTAACAATTACGAAGGTTTCTCTTCCTCTCTTTAGTCTTGAAATTTTCATATTTTTTGCAATAATTATAATCAATTTTTTACATTTATTTCTCTAGAGTTTGTATAATAAACATAAATTAAATGACGCTATTATAAATTGTCATTTATTTATTGATAAAAATTCAAAAATCATTTCTTTATCTACCACTTTTTAATATTTAACTCGAGAAGTTACTAGGTCTGTGGAAGAAAACAAGGGAGAAGATAGGGTTGTTTGCGTATAATTCTCTCTTCTTTACTTTAATTCTCTACGCGGTGCTGCGTATAACGGTTCGTTCAAAAATGAAAGACTCGCGTTTTAATGGTGCCGGGTGCTTTCAATAATAGAATGGTATGCCTTTGAGTCGTGGTCCGGCACGGGTTTGGCCGGGCGGCAGCTTCGACCTCCTGTCTCCTGTTCTGTCCGCTCGTTTGATTCAGCGCAGATAAATCTTCAACAGGTCTGCACTTAGCTGTCTCTGACTTAGAATAGCGTAGCTGAAACGACTACGCGTCCTGCAGCCGCATCGCGAAACCGATTGAGAACGACAACGCTATCCTCGACGCGTGCTTCCAGTATTTTTTCGTCACCGCGAATTTCGAATACGTGAAGGGGTTTGAATATAAAGAAAGTGCTACTCCAAAAACACACACAAATGTCTCGGTATTTGTAGTCAGGCAAAAAGAAAACCGTAACATAGCACGATCTCACACAATAATTTGATAAAAATGAGAGAATGAAAAAGAGATGAAGAGAAAGAGAACGAAAATAATTAAATAATAATTAAAAAAATAATTATTTTTCCAAAAACAACTACGTTTCAAAGACACAATTAGTAAAAGTGATTGTACTACATATTGTATGTAAAATCTTTGCTGAAGAAATTAAAATTTCATCCGCTGAAAATCTGTTCTTAGATGTACAATAGCAACATTTCGAAAATTTTTAAGTTTGAAAATAAAAACAAAATTGCAATTGAAATTATAATACAATGAAATTATATAATTTTTTACATCAATATTTAATTAAAAGAATCGCGTTATGTGTTCTATTTCTTGTCAATTAATTACATTCTTATAAAAAAAGGGAACAATTCGAATCATAAATGATGCAATAAATCGACAAATACCAATTTAAGAAATCATATATCACAAAATTACATGGAGAAAATGCGTATTTCCGTTACAAAGATATATTCCGCTATCTTGATCCTACCCCGCGAGGAATCAAAAATCTCCCGAGTACAACGTGAGGAATAACGCGGCCCCATGATTCGAATAGCAAACTCCAGGGTCAAGCAGGACGTATAAACTCGTAACGCCGACGTCGAGTAATGAATGGTTCGATCGAATGCAACTCAACGCTGAATCGTTTCACCGGGGCATGACCCTAGTCCTTGGCGAAAGGCTAATAGTATCCCTGTCGGGAGGACGACAGGATCGATGGTACGATCGTAACAGGAAAAAAAGAAAGAAAAATCTTACTCGATCGCGGTCCCCCCTTCGATTCTATAGTCTCGAACGATTGAAAGGACTCGGGCGTCCTTTGAACATAAGGAACATGTGTGTACAGTTCAATATCGATTACGTATTTATAACATAAAATATTGATTCCATAATTGTATCCACTTAAGATTTTATGTAATGACAAAGAAAAGTTTTTTGTTTAACGAAGTTTCAAAAAATTTCTCGTTCAAATTATATAAGAAATTGTCTTTTAATTGTTTGTATTTGATGCACAAAATAGTATGGATGAATATATACACAAAATAAATGTATTAGATTTATGGATTATTAATATTAACATTTTTTAATTGCATAAAAATGCATAAAAATTCCTGTCTAAGAACATTATATCAAAAGATCTTTAATCGCCCCCTTTTTTATAAAATATACTTTTGCAGTGCAATAACATATCTTCATTTATTATAAGATAAAATGTGGAAATAATTATCAATATTTTTTTTTTCATCGTAGCTATTTTGGGCAGAATAACGGACAGACACAAGAAAAGCGACGGCTCGCAGAGCGGCACAAGTGTATCAGGCACATCCTGGATCCGATTCACTCTAAACGTCGATTTCATTTACAAAAAAAATTCCAATTCAAGGATTCGACGTGGTGACGTATCTCTTTATGTTCATTCAGCTGATCTGGCTTGCAGATGCCCAAAAATCAAGCCTAATAAGTAAGTACTCTCTTGAAAAAAAATCGAAGATATTATATCTTCATTTTTATTCTTGAATTTTTCTTCTTGAAATATTTTATGCATATCTTTATATTATTTACAAATTCATTCGTCTTTAAGTTAATAAAAATTAATTCAAAATTTTTCATGTTTTTTTCTAAAAACATAAGAAATTATCTATTATATCTAAATATAGTCGAAATATTAATAAGGTCGATTTCTTAAAAAATTCTTTAGAAAAATTTTTCTATGAATAAAAAATTTTACTTGTAAAAAGATAATGCAATTTAAAAAAAATTCTAATTCTCGATATAGGATTTGTTGCTTTTTTCTGCTGCTAATCATAAATCTTATTTATCTTACTTAATCACTTTTTATTGTTAATCTTATCATTACCTAAACAATACATTTATATCAAAGATATTATAATGATATAAAATATGACTTAATTTTTCCAATCATCTTTAAATATCTCTTATGGACATCTTTAGTGTCATTTGATTTTTTTATCCGTCTTCAACTGAAAATCAAGCCAAGCGGTCAAGCTTTTCGAATATAATGTAATCATCTGATAATCTGATAAATGCGATATTCTATAACGATCGTGAATTGCTTGTCAGATTCTGAACGAACGCGAAATTAACGGCCGGCGACAGCTGGCAACTGAACGCTAGCGATCGCGACTCGAGCTCACGTTGACTCTGTTCTGTGTGTTTGCAGGTCGTACTTGATCCTTGGCCAAGAGAACGACGGCGGTGGCCAAGGTGGACTCACGGTGACGCAGAGGTCGATCGTCATCGAGTGGCGCGACGAATGGCATCGCCGAATGCGTCGTTTCCAACGAAGGGCGAGATCGTGCCATTGAAGTGTTCGCACGTCGCGGAAAGAGAGGAAGAGATAGAAAGCGAGATAGAAAGAGAAAAAGAGAGAGAGAGAGAGAGAGGGAGAAAGAGAGAGTGAATGAGAGAACGAGAGTGAGTACGAAGGTGTATGTATGTGTGCGAGAAAGATAGAGAGAAAGAGAGAGAAGTCGATCCTTTCCTAACCGTGTTCGTAGAAGCCTGCATATCTTTATTTACCGCGAATACCGGTATCGGGGTGCCGATTTTGTTTTATGCGCGGTATTCGTCGACTACTGTATGTACGTCGAAGACAAAATATGAGGAAGAGGAGGACGAAAGGAGAAGCTGCGATATTTCCAAATGGAGTGTCCGCCAGGCGAAATGACACGAGCAATGCACGTGATGCATACGGAGGATTTGTTGCGCAAAGACAATTCCATTACGTAGATAATCCCCAAGTTAATCGCAAAAAAATCAACTATTCAAAATATAAATACTGACAAATTTATTCTCAACGAATACATATTTGTCTAGGCTTTTCTTTTTCGTTTCGATATGAAAAACTTTAAGCAAAAGTCCGAGCTTACCTCTTTGCTCGCATGAAATGCAAATCAGTTCAAGTTTTTTCAGACTGCAAATCGCGTTCCTAACGAGTATCTAATATCTTTGTGCAGAACGAAAGAGTGTTCCTCGATGTCGATTCACTTCTGACATTTGTTGCGCGACATTTCTACGTGACAAGCGATTTATTGAACGGCATGAATCTTTGAGGCCTCGACGTCGTGCCCGTTCGCACCCGATAAATCGCATGTCCATGAGAAATGTCGCGAGATGAATGTCGGGTTGAATTTACGCGACAGATTCAATTACTCTGGAATACCACAAATCGCTGCCGGTATGGTGTCCACGGTATTCAATGGCGAATAATCGTCCGAATATGTTGTTGTCTATATAGTTTCTGTTATACCATTTACACCTAACATTTAAACCACATTCAAGTGAAAAATATTCACTTTCCTCTCAAAAAGCGTCCTCACAGTCAGTAGCACAGTCAGAATATCGTGCTCAATAGAAATTAATGGTTTTAATTAATTGTACGCACAACGATATACAATATAATTTGCGGTATTAATATCATTATGATATATAATCAAGCTCTTTCAAAACGCTTCTCCACAATAATAATTCATATTCATCAACATCAATTTGCTGTACACAAAAAATGGACGTGATATAACGTGAGCGCGATATGTATGAACCGGGCGTTAATGCATCTATATTATGGAAGGTGCTGTCATTAAAGCTTAATAGATTCGGTAAAGCGAAATCAATTTCCGAAATCATACGCATCGCTGATGCACAATCTTTAATCTTATTCGTCCCCTTTTATTTTTGCTTTACGAGCAGAAATTGAGGCGATGACTGAAAAAGGGACGCATGAGCGAAACTCTTTCCCTTTTGAGAAAAATTTATTTAAAGTTTTTATTTTTTCTACATTCTTATTAAGTTAATAGATTTGTAATTGCGTCCAAGTATTTTGTAAAAATGAAAGCTTTACACATTTTTTTTAAACAAGATTTTTGCCCTCCTTTTTTCTCGCACTCTTCTCAATTTATTTTAATCTTTTAATTTTGAATTATTTCTTTAAAAGAATTCTTTAAAAGATTTTTCTTTAAAAGGAAAAAAGTAAATATTAGCTTCCGTAACTTATAACTAAATTTTATTTTATTACTTTTAATTTATTTAATCATTTAATTTTTCTCCTACGAAAATTATTACGAATTAAATATGTAAAATATTAAAAATAATTTTATTTAAAAAAGATTATATGTAAATTAGATGGAAATTATATATTATAACAATATTTCGACATTATTTTGAATAAGATAAAAATACATATGCTCTTCGAGACTTCACTGTTGAGAAAATCGCGATCCACCTGCTACGAAAGCATGATTCAACCATATCCAGTACTGGAATACTCGTATCGTTGTTAGAATTAAAAGGCTAGGTCTCAAGTAGACAAGCGCAAAATGCGTACGTACATGTACCATGTCTTAGCCACTTCAAATCTGATTTATTCGCGGCTGTCTTGTCTTGAGAGTCGGTGCACTCGGAGAAAGTGGGCGTGAGAGAGAAACAACGCGAGAATTCAATGAAGTCTCGAGAGAAGCAAAAAGAGAAACGAAAACGTACGCGAAACAAGTAGATAAGAAGATATATACACATGAAATATATATTATATTAAATTAAATATATATTTAATCATTATATATTACTATTAAATGGATGTATTATATATTAAAATTTGCAAAACGCTATTGTTTTAAATACCTTGCAAAAAAATATTATTTTTAATTATTCGATATTAAACATTATCAAAGTATAAAATGTCCAAAACTTAAACTACTTTTCAGAGATCTCTTCGATTACTCTTTCAGTAAGAAAATATCGAAAGACGTCACTTATTCTTGTTGCATTCATGTCACCTTCTACTTGCGAATTCTTTGAAAAATCTAAAATTGATTTTTCTTGATAAAAATATCGAGAGATCAGTAACTTAAAAGTTACTAGTTTCTTTCAGATCTTTATCGAGAAAAATCAATTCCAGATTTTTCAAAGAACCCGTGAACAGAAAGTAACACGATAAGTCTACACATATTGTATATTCTATGACGGAAACTTTAATAGTGTTTTCTCGACATAAGAATAATGACTATGTTCCTATTTCGTCCTATCGATTACTAAGCAAATGCTCGTTAAATCGAAAGAGAAATCACCTTTAGACAGAAGAAATTCTTTGTTATTTTATTTCATTTTTCGTCAAATTTGCACACATTGTTTAAGATTTATACAAACTAATGTAAAAGCGTGAATGTTTATTATTCTATTCTGCAAATTTATGTTAATGATGTTTAAAAGAGTTGAAAGATATTGTACTAGAGCATTCGTATAAATATAATTTATGCCTTTAGAGATGTTGAAATCTGTGCGAATTTTAATTCGGTTAAATACATTCGAGTGCCCATGTAAAAGCATGACGCTCGGTATTTCTCGCACAGAGACATTGGTTCGTTCGGTGAGATAAATTGCTTACAATACATTTAGCTCTAAGGCTATTAGCAATCCGAGGAGTGCGGATTTAAGTCAAGTTGTCGACCAGCATCCGTTTTGCTCGGCTTATAAACGCTTCCTCGAGATGCGCTCATCTAAAATTGGAACGAATGGAATTTGCCTAGAGATGGATACGCGCGTCTTGCATCCGATCAAGAATAATATCGCGTGTACGACAAAATTACGTCTAATTAAATGAGCGAGATAAGAAGACAACCAAGCAGAACGAATCAGCATTTTTATTAAAAGACTATTCGTTGAGATAACATTCTCAAGACATAAATGTCTTGTTTGTGATTTTTGTTTCGATAGAAAAAAATAGAAACAAGTATTGAGGACACAAGTGTGGGGACAAAAGCGTTGCATTGCGTGTCGCATTTCGACACGATGGCGGATGGCTCGATTGTAAATGGCACAATATTCGTCCCCGGGCTTCCCTTCCCTCTCTCGCATCTTCTGTTTTAATTTATTTATTCTTCGCTCTCGCTCGATCATCGCGCGTCGACCGTATTCATATAGAAATATTACATCGCGTTCGTTGAATGTAGATTTTCTCTTGTACATTTTCTATATAAATTATTAAGATCCTTTTCTAGCTCGTATATTATATTATGTAGTAGTGAGAAAGAGAGAGAGAGACAGAGAGAAAGAGAGAGAGAAAGAGAGAAAAAGAGAGAGAGAGAAAGAGAGGAGATCGGTAGAGGCTAAACGCACTGACACGTGTCGCGATGTGAGTCGCGGGCTTATCGATCAATGGTGACACTCTCCCGGATTGTTTGCGTCACGGATTCCAGACGGTGACGGCGACGGCGGCGTTCAAGTTAATCATCGATCGTAAAAATTGCATACAAAAGCATCACTGATCTCTATGAGACAAAATTTTAGAGGTATAATTGAGAGGCGATAAGTGAACAAACACGCCCGAATAAAAAATCATAGTCGAAGAAAGGTCATTAATATGGAGATCAGTGAAAAACACTGGTTTATTTGAAAATTATCGCGTGTTATTCGATGTAATCGACGACCCGCGACCGCAAAGAACCCACCTGTTACGTCCCGCTGCCTGATTCTATCCGGATTCCTGATATCACATCAGCACGCGAGGAGACTATCGCGAAGACTATTCTTCCAAAGCTGTAAGTCCTTCTCGCGACAGTACGATAAAAAAGAATTCGCGAAGATCCGACGATCAAACGGCACAAACGTATTATTTAGAGATAATGAAATAATCTGTAGAAACGTTTTATCTATTACCACGTGCTTTGTGTGGTTTGATAGAAAGGAAAAAATAAAATTAATTTGATCCTCCGAAAGGAATGGAGATTCCGTCTACACTACTCGATTTTTTGGCGATATCGAGATAAAATCATTTCTTCATCTACGCACAATATTAAACGATTGCATTTGGTTCTTGTGCTATGATATTGTATTTATAGCGACTATAATGCTACGATAAAAATGCAAAAAATATATAATAAAAATGCAAAAAAAATTACATATACAAATTGCAAATATCGCTAAAAAATTGCGTAGTGTAAACACGCTATTACGCACGATTGCGATAATGATCAAGCAGATTATCCTTCACGCATCGCGTTTCGAGCCAAGTTCCTAAATTGTGCCGAATGCATTCCCCTCTTCCGTTTCATTAAACGATCGATTAAAACGATCTGTTCCTTTTAGCGAAAAACAGCGCAAAAAATCGGAACAAGGGGGAAAATGATCCGTGCACATGTCGCGTTCAAGAGGAACCAATCATCAATGCTCGCATCAGATTAACGCAACGATAGTATCGATATTATTCGATTACCTATTTATTTTTCGAACGAAATGCGTATTATCATCGAATTTTTTGTCTACGTTCAATATAATTCTAAACATATGTTTAAATCAATGCAACATAAATCGCGTTAAATTCTCCTTTTTTAATCAACAATTAAAAATATATACTTATCTCTTTTAAAGAAAACTCAGAATCAATTAGAAAATTTATAATCGAAAAAATATGTAAAGATATATGAAAAATATTATATACATATGTATATTTGTAGAAAAGTTTATTTTAATTTTGAATACTGCAATTTATTATACACTTATAATTAGACGAAAGAGATTATACAGAAAACAATACTTTATTGCAATATTAAAAAATAAAATTCGCTCGGAGAAAATGCATTTATGATATTTGGATGCGTGCTTTTGGTATTGACAGATTTAAATACATATCGATAAATATTATATCACAAACATTAAATCATGTGTTTCAATTACAGTCGCGCTAATCGTATGCGAGTGGTTTTCCGGAATAGGATCTCACAGGAAGTATAAATCAGACGCGATCGCTCTCGTTTTTGAACGAGGAGAAAAACAGTCGTACGCTCTTTCGTGTGTGCCGTAGTTGACAATGTATGTATGTACTTACGATTTTAACGATGGCTGAACGTGACGTCGGAAATAAAAACGATTCTGACGGGCAATCGATAACATCACAGATGGAGGACGAAACGTTCACGTCGTTGCGACCGCGAGCCTATAATACCACGGAGACGATCGATCTCGATCCATCAATCTTCATGTTGCAAGATGGTACATCCTAAAATCAAAGATTATAGCAATTAAATTTGCTTTTGTTTTCTATTGTCGCGCGTCGAGATTTTTCATCGCAAACTTGAGATTAATTATTAACTCATTTGTCAAAATAAGTTAATAATTAAAAAAAAAAAACAAGATTTTTTCAATATTATATCAATATAACAATATTAAGATATTTCTTGATTGACAAGTATCAAAAGATATTAATAATCTAAACTGACAAAAATATATATAAATTATTTAATATATAAGACCAAAGAAAAAATAATAGAAATTCATTACAATTAATTTTATTTTACAAGCTATGTAATAACTTTAGAAGATTTCTCTTAAAAAAGTATATTTAGTATAATAATATATAATAAAAATTATTTTAATGTTTAATACAATTTCTTCCATTATATAATTTCAATTAAATATTTCTCTCTTCGCCATTTGCTGTGTTTATTTTTCATTTCTTCAAATATATATTATACATAAAATCATATTATTTATATTCTAATATTATTAATAATTGATCTAATATTATTAAAAATTTTATTCTCAAATTTTGTAATCGATTTACGTACATTATATGCAGAATTTTAATATTTTTCAATTTTTCTTAAATAAAATTATAATTTATCTATAATTCAGTTTTTCAATATTAATCGTGTTATTAATCGCCTTCAATTTATAACATTTGGGATCCGTCGTCTCCGTTATCTACGCTATAATTACATGTATAAAATGTACCAACTTAAGATAGCTTTAGAAATTAAGATTAAAAGACTATATACATATATCATCTATCTGCAAGTAACACATACAGTCGGGGATTAAAAAGAACTGATTAAATCAAAATAATTCAAAATAGTAGATCGGAATATGCAAATTTGCTACATA